TTGTATGGATGCAAACAAATACATAAACATAAATAAATATATAGGCCCATTTTGGAGAAGTCTAACGCAATCTAGCATGTCATCATGACAGAATTTAGATTTTATTAAATGCATTTCACGCAAATAAAAAAATATAAATGGCATTCAGCTCTAGTTTTTACAGTTGCTATATTTGCATAATTTAGTAAAATATATCTGTTGTTTTGGTTTTTTTCTTAACTAACAAACAAACATCTCTTTATGTAATGTAGAAGCCATTCATTTTGTCCTGCTTATTTATTTATTTTAGTTCTGTCAAATCGATTAATCGCGATTAACTGCATCCAAAATAAAAGTTTGTGTTTACATAATATATGTGTGTGTACTGTGTATATTTATTTTGTATATATAAGTAGACACACACATGCATGTACATATTTAAGAAAAATTTTATATTTTTATTAGTGCTGTCAAACGATTAATCGCGATTAATCGCATCCAAAATAAGTTTTTGTTTACATATCCTTTGTGTCTGTACTGTGTATATTTATTATGTATATATAAATACACACACATACGGAACTTTTATTTTGGATGCGATTAATCGTTTGACAGCACTCATTTTTATATAAAATATTTAGATTTATTTAAAATATTAATTATATATAAATATAAATATATATAAACATGTAAATATCTTTAAACTATATACATGTATGTGATTGCATTTATACATAATAAACACAGTACACACACATCTATTATGTAAACACAAACTTTTATTTTAGATGCGATTAATCGCGATTAATCATTTGACAGCACTAAAAATCTGTCTATGATTTACTAAATTCCTTTGTCTTCATAACTCATGATTGCTCAAAAACAGTCCAAATTTATGCAACCAACATATTTATTTGTAACAAAAGAACATAAAAACAACATAGATATTAGTCCGTTTTCAAACAAAACTAATTCATTTTAATTGCATAAATGTTCACTTTCTGACAAAAAATGTGATTATTTTTCATGCTGCAATGGTTTGTCAATAGGCATACATATTCATGTGTATCAACAAAATCCAGTCCCAAAATTGTGTGGGTTATGGGGAAAATGTCAAATATATTTTACAAATGTTTTTGACACTAATATAATTTCATAAATAATTTAACAAAAAGGGTATTTGACACCTTAGATACTCCATACATATCCAGGTCCAAAACAATCATCTTTTTAAATGGTTATCTCTAAAAAATAATTGTAAAAAATTTGAAAGAAAATAAATGATTTGTATCTGAAGATCTTGAAGCACTTGCAATGTTTCATTCTCTCACTAAAAGCTATGCAGGTTTTAGAAATGTTTATATATCTCTTCTGGGTCAAACGGGCCCTAATGCGTTATGAGGGTTAAACAGTACGATACCTCTTTATCTAGTGAAGCCTCTAGGTGTAAAGACCGGTCTGACATGAGGAAACTCCTCGTCGTCTCCACCATCGGCTGTGGGCCGGGTTTCTCAGGAGCATACTGGACTTTGCGTATCACTAGTCGCACTGAATTCCTGTAGAGGAAGAAATAAGCTTCAAATAAGATCTAAACTCTTTTACACTGAAAACAAATGATTGCGGGCAGAAAACTGTAAATAATCAAACCTTTTGTGGTTCTTCTCTTCCATCGTTTTGGCACAGAAAGCCCTGATCTCAAAATCCACACCACAGGCCTGGAGTGAGAAAGACGGAGGTGAGCAAAGGACAAGTCCGCCAAAGCTTCACAAACAGGATGTGTGCAAAATTAGGTGACAAATCTAAAGGTGTTAAAATGAGCCTTGTATGAGTGATAATACCTTTCCTGTGTCCTCAGGCCCAGGCTGCAGAGTAACAGAGCATGGCAAGTTTTGCGGTATTACTACAATCAAGCTGACAATATTAATAATACTAAGTTTTATTAAATAAGCAGAAAGAGCAGCATGAGAATGTTGCATAGACCCTACATGGGCAGCTGTTGTTAGCTGTCAGGCTATGCGACATGCATGATAAAGGATGAACTGACTTCTGATGAAACATTTGCAAATGCTTAATACATATTTCTAACACAATTATATATACATATATATTTTTTTTTTAATATAATTAACGTGCACATTAAGTGCTGTTTCTCCATCATGCTCAGTCAGCTTATCCATCCACGTCCATTTACAATCCAGCTAGTATTAGCTTTCCTACTGTTCGCTTTATAATTTCAACAATAATGATACCAGACAAAATTAATTTGAGGTCTGAAGCTTTAAAAAACACTCACCGGGTGCCTGCCTTGTCCCCCATAATGAGGGAGAATTTGGCCGCGGGAATTTGTGGAGGAAAACACACAGCTATGGCACACGGAGTGTAAACAGCAGCAGCTCCTCCTGTAGCTGGCGGTGGGCGGAGCTACCGTTGAGTCACGTGATCGGACACCCACAAAAAAGCGGCAGCTCAGAGAGCGTACAAGCAAAGAAATACATTATTTAATAACACTGAATAATCGCTTCTATTCTATTTCTATTATTTATGTATTAATTATATTATGCTATTAATTATATATATATATATATATATATATATAGTACAAAATAAATATAGCATAATAGCCTACTAGGTCTTTTCTCCCAAATTAAAATGTACTACATTATTTAATAACACTGAATAATCGCTTCTATTCTATTTCTATTATTTATGTATTAATTATATTATGCTATTAATTATATATATATATATATATATATATATAGTACAAAATAAATATAGCATAATAGCCTACTAGGTCTTTTTTCCCAAATTAAAATGTACAGCATAGTTCCTGTTACACTAGAGCTCATCCGTGCTTTGATAACACAGGGGGTCAAACGTGTCATCTTTTGATGCATTTCTATCCAGATATCAAAGGAGAGATATTTTCTCTGAGAGGTTTTCCCTGTATCTGTCAGTGTAATATCTCCACCATCATTGTTTGGTTGGGCCATTAATGTGGTAGATGGTTGTTTTTATTTATAATTATAGCTTGAAGGGAGTAGCTTCACAGAACACTGTTGGTGTCACAACACATGCTGGTATAAAATGATGAGGGGATTTCTTTTTGCTTGTGTTATCAGACTCAGTTGCATTATATCAGTATTGAGCTGAAGAGAGAAACAAACCATCCACTGTTTCATCATAAACTATGAAATCAAAAATCCATGCTTTGGTAAATCATTAAAAAAAAAGTCTACATAAGTACAACATAAAGTTAAAATTGTGGCATACTAAATCATAATTATGACATAAAATATCAGATTTTTAAATTAAAAAAGTCATCACACCAATTATCTTATTTGAGGGCAGAAATGGCCCTCAAAATATAATCTTCCAAAATTATGAGATGACAAGTCAACATGATGACAAAAATAAAATGTCTGATTTACAACGCATAGATATCACATTATAATTGTAACTTTTTGTCTTATGACTTTTTAATAATATAATTTTAACTTTTTATTTCATAATGTACATTTTGTCATAATTATGACTTTTTATGTCATAATTTCAACTTCTTTTAGCTTCTATACATCTAAATCATAAATACACTCATAACTGCTTGCCTGCTTTTACATGAAGTTGTACTGTAATATATATATATATATATATATATATAGTAGTCAACATTTGAAGTGGATCAAAGTTGTCCTAAAACCAAAACCGTACCCATTCTTGTCTTAGGACAACTTTGATTAACTTTTTTGATCCACTTCAAATGTTGACTAGGCTACTGTATATCAGGGCCGTGCACAGACATTTTGTAGGGCAGTGGCCCAAACCAAAAAAGGGGCACTGGGGGTGGGTGCTTGTTAATACAAATATCCAGTTGTTACAAATATACAATTAAAAGAGAAGACAGCACACTCTGTAATAATTTCAGACTTTATTGTAGATGTTTTGATAAGAATGGGCTCTCCCTCACTCTCTGAGCCTGAGCCTGCTTCTGCCTCATCTTCAATGGAAGTAGGGGAGAGTGGGTAAGTTGACCCGCCTCCATCTTGGCAACTGTACACTTTTACTGACATGTGACCATGTATTTTGGAACCACCAATCATTTATGCCAGACTGTGAAAAGAAGAATCACATGAGAGGAGTGGAAGGACACCTATTTACTTTAAAAACTGTTTTTGGCTTGTTAAAGTAACATTTTTAGCATAACAGATGATATGGTTGTTACATCAAAGCAAATTTATCCAGGTCTAAAAATATTTATGATAGATAGGTGATTTAGCAACATATAAAACCATGCAAATCATTTAGCTAAATATTAGCCTAAACTGGTAAGCTACAGTAGCTATTTTTTCCAAAATGGCAGCTATGGGGCAAAGTGAGCCAAATGTTGTGGGGTAAATTGAGTCAGCATTTTAACTTACCCCACCGTCATTTTACACCCAGATGGTGCATCTTACCCACTGACTCGACTCTAACCCGGGGCAAACTGAGCCATGAGAACACTTTTTTAAAGCCATATTTTTTAGAACCCTTTGTCATACATTCTGATCATTTAAAATGATCGGAATACTTTCATTAGGATAGGATAGATACTTTCATTGTACTTCTGCATCATTTTAACTTATCTTGAGGACCACATATAAGTAAAAAATGGCTAATCTTACCCCACTCTCCTCTAGAAGTATTAGACATTTAATTTAATATTTTACAGCATAACTCTATATACTAATAAACAACTAATTCAGAGCATTTATTACATTTACTTTTACATTTAGTCATTTATTAATTTATATTATTTTTTAACTATTTATAGGCCTAGGTTTTAATAAAATATGATGTGTTATAGATTACTAGTATAAGACAAGTGATTATAATGGGAAATATACTTAATTACAAGAATTAAAGTGTGACAAACTGCTAAATATTCTATATGATGATTTACCTGCTGGCTTGCTGGAGCTTTGAATTCATTTTTGCAATGTTGAACTGCCTTTAGCAGCTTCCCTTAATTTTAAAATATTTTGTTGTTATTTTAGAAGACCGAGAGCAAATCATTACCGACAGAAGTACAAAAACCAAAAACAAATACCAAATTACTAATTCAGCGAATTCACTGACTGTTATGTGGATTGTAATGCATCCACCTGTTAATGCAACGACATTGGGAACTGTGGTCTCCAGGCACGGCGCCAGAATTGCCCAGTGGCATAGCGGACGGCCCCGCGCCCGCGATAACCTCCCCTTGGGTTGAGTCGAAAGACGACGATCTTGTATCGACGATAGCCAGAGATATTGTCAAAAACATCGATTATTGGCAATATTAAGAGGACTTGGCCTTTCCAGTTAACGTAGGCCTGTTACATTCTTATTTTTATTAGGCCTATTATTTTTTGAAGTTGCTTTTATTATTATTATTTTATTATTAATTAAGCCCACCGGCAACTATAGTTGCGGCAGTTTATAGTTGTCATTTTCCTTTTGTAAGTATTTTTCTAGATGTTATCCATGTTTTATTTCTCAATGACATGCAAGCAAACAACCAAATAAAGGATTTCAAGAAAAAAAAAAAAAGGTATTCACTTCCTTCCTGTCACATGAGGCTGTCAACTTCCTACCCCTACTTCCAGGAAGCATGGCGAAGGCAAACCCTCCCAAAGAAATTTAATTTTCATGTTACTATTAA